TAAGTGTATTTACCCTTAATTTGAGTAGGTAAATTAAATGATTTGCCACTGGAATGAGGTATTTTTACTCTTTAAATAAGATATTTAGATAAAAGGCACTTGAAATGGGAAAATGCAATTACGTTTTTGTGTGTAATTATGTGTGTAATTTTGTGTGTAAAAGTGTAATTATCTTGTTCCATTGGCAAAATGTATCTTTTACCTCATCAATTCAAGAACAAATACTCTTATTTTTAAGAAAAAATTACTTATCTAGATTTAGATTTTTTTCCAGTGTGTAATTAAAGCTTTGCTTTTTTTAAGTGAAAGTTTGGACTCTAGAGGAGTGTTGAAATAAATAAAGCTTTATTATCTATAATCTTTTGAGATAAATGTTTGTACTTGCAATCAGCCATACAACATGCATGGTTTAAAAGCACAAAAACCAAAAAAGTGGAAACGAATTTTGTAAAGCTGTTGCTTTCAAGATACTAAATTAATTCAAATCATAGTATTTCCATGAAAGCAGCGTCTAATCAATGCCTGTTTGGGGATTTTCTTTTTCCAGAAAAAAAAAACTCTGTTCAGGCGATAAATTAGTTTTTATATCATTCCAGCCTGGTTCTTATTGAAATATTTATGGACTGCTCGTTCATGTCACTAGCCAAGTATCAGACAAAGAAAGGCATTTTTGACATTTCTTTGGCACATGCTTTTTCATTTGTTGCTTTCCTCACTCCCTCCTTTTGTTTCCCTTTGTTTTTATATCATGGAGGCTCTAAGCTCAAACATGGCAGTGACGTTAAACTGTCTGATTATTACTAGTGGCCTGTGGGAGTGCGTTACAGTCTCATCTAAGGTGTTAAGATTTATAGCCTTGAAATATTTCATGCCTGTAGAGCTTTTCCTTCTCAGGTAATAGGAAAAAAAGAGCAGACAATTATGGTTTCTTTTAAAGGTGAAGTGTAGATCATGCTTAAGTATGGGTTAAATTTAAATGAGGATATTGGTTAATACTAGAGTAGCCAAAAGAAGAATGCCGTTAATAGGTGTATTTAACTTTTTAGTATGAGAAAAGCGCGAAATCCAGTATGTTCAGTTTTATTCAGCCGTGACGGCAGGTTCTTTACCGTGTAAAGTAAAAACATAAACACTCAAATGTTTGCGGCGCTGCATCTGAAACATGAAAACCTGAATTTACACACCACCACATTTGACACAAAGTTCTTTAACGTGTCAAATTTCAACCCTCTGTTTAGAGAATAACTCCTAAGAAAACAGTGGACAGGTTCTGTTTGAGCTCAGCGAATCAAATTACAGTAAATCGGTTCAAAGCGGGGTGTGACTACCTGCACGGTTTAGACCAACAGGAGGACATTTTCTAGTCCGACGGAACATTCCAGCTGTAATACAACACCACTTGCATGTAGCTTTTGTTACAAGCGTGTTAGCAAAGCATCTGCTGCAATAAATTTTTAAGGCTGGCATTTGCATTTGAATTATAGACTCTCAGGTCTGTTTTTTGTACACACGATGCATAAAACATAATTGCCCCATGGCCATGGGGAATGGTACAACGTTTCATAATCCCTATTGGACTTTGCCTCTTTGTTGAGCATGTATCATGAACTTGGGTCATTTTCTCACTTGGACATGGAGACATGTCAGCAGATTTGTTGAGGCAACGTTGAACTTTGTTCCTTACAGTTTTTTTTTTTATATTTGAACAGCTGCTACAAAAAGCATACATTTTTGTCAATCATTAATTTTTTTATTTAATCCAAGTATATCACTCTAATGGGGATTATTAGATGCTCTTTGAATTTCACACATGAAGCCGATATGTTTCTGGTGGAAAAATTAACCGCAGTAAATGATCTGGTTCATAAGCATACATCATTAGGATCTCCCTATAATGGATCTTTCCTGGGAGCAGAGGTATCAACCTACTTCTAGAGTCTCTACGTTAGCCTCCGTCTGCTGAAGGAACGTGCCAGACAGGGCATGGAAAACCTGAGGTTTAATGTGGTGTTCACTGTGTGCTCAGGCTTCC